CAGGAATATCTTTTCCCTGCCACCCACTTGCAATCCAGCTTCTGAATGCAACCTCCTGTCTGAAATCAGCGTGGGCTCTGCCTGTTCTGGGCTTCAGAGCTCAAAGAACACCTGCTCGTGCTTCCATGCTGTGTTGGTGTCACTAGGCAAATGGGCACTAAGTCTAGTTAGGTTTGCACAGATACAACTCTGAATCATGTAGCCCATGAGGTAGCCCACATAATATATGGCTTTTATGGTCACATCTCAAGCAGAAGTGCCACATAAAAATGTTAAAAGATCATGTGATCTTTAAGGTCCTTCCAACTCAGGCCATTATATGATTCTATTACGAACATTATGGAGGAGCTGGAGCCAAAAAACAAAACAAACAAACAAAAAAAAAAACAAATAGAAAATGAGATCATAATATAGAATCATCGAATGGTTTAAGTTGGAAGGGATCTTAAAGCTCATTAAGTTCTAATGTGGGCAGCTTGCCACCCACTGGATCAGGATGCCCAGGAACCCAAAAAAACCTCTCTCTGAATGCCTCCAGGGATATGGCAGCCACAGCTTCTCTGGGGCAGCCTGTGCCAGTGCCCTACTACTCTACCACTGTCCAAGTAAAAAAGTTTCCTCCTAATATCTAATCTAAATTTCTTCTCTTTTAGTTTAAAATATTATCATTTGTCCTATCACTATACTTTCTGATAAGAGTCTCACTCCAGCTTTCCTGTAGGCCCCTTTAGGTACTAAAAGGCTACAATGAGGTCTGCCCCCTTAGCATTTTCTTCTCCAGGCTGAACAACCCCCACTCTCTCAGGCTTTCCTCATAAGGAAGGTGCTTTAGCCCCCTCATCATTCTCATGGCTTCCTCCAGGTCTGCTTCAACAGCTCCACATCGTTCTTGTGGTGAGAACATCAGGTCTGGACACAGTATTCCAGATGGGGCCTCATAATGGTGGAATATGGGACAACCACAGCCCTCACCCTACTGGTCACAATTTTTCTTAATACAGCCGAAGGTATAGTTGGCTTTCTGCCCTGCAATTGCACATTGCTAGCTCATACTGAGTTTCTCATCCACCAGACCGTCTAAGTCACACAGAATGGCCCAGGTTGGAAGGGACCCCAAGGATCATGAATCTCCAACCCCCTAGAATCATAGAATCACCAAGGTTGGAAAAGACCTAAAAGATCACCCAGTCCAACCGTTCACCTATTCCCAATAGCTCCTACTAAACCATGTCCCTCAACACAACATCCAGCCTTTCCTTGAACACCCCCAGGTGTTCTTTACCCCTGTAAAGAACTTCCCCCTGACATCCAACCTAAATCTCCCCTCCCTCAACTTAAAACCATTTCCCCTTGTCCTGCTGTTATCAACCCTTTCAAAGACTTGATTCCCCTCCTGTTTGTAGGTTCCCTTTAGGTACTGAAAGGCTGCAATGAGGTCACCCTGCAGCCTTCTCTTCTCCAGGCTGAACAAGCCCAGCTCCCTCAGCCTGTCTTTATAGAGGAGGTGCTCCAGCCCCCTGATCATCTTTGTGGCCCTCCCCTGGACCCTCTCCAACAGCTGTCTTTCTTGTACTGGGGGCTCCAGGCCTGGACACAGTACTCCAGATGGGGCCTCACAAGAGCACAGAGGGACGATCACCTCCCTGTCCCTGCTGGCCACTCCTCTTCTGATGGAGTGCAGGATTCCATTTGCTTTCCGAGCTGCAAGAGCACACTGCTGGCTCATGTTAAGTTTTTCATCCATCAGGACCGCCAAGTTCTTCTCCTCAGGGCTGCCCTCAATCCGCTCTCCACCCAGCTGTATTTATTGCCCAGACCTACACACAAGACTTAGCCTCATTGAACTTTGTGCACTTCACATGGGCCCAACTCTCAGGACTGTCATGGCCCCTTCAGCACATCAACCACATCACATACCTTAGTATCATTTGTACATTTGCTAAGGCTGCATTCAATCCCACCACCCTTGTTGTCAACAAAGATGTTAAATACCAGTCCCTTTGCCAGTCCTTGAGGGACATCACTTGTCATTGGCTTCCACCTGGACATCAAGCCATGAACTGAAACTCTGAGTGTGATCACCCATCCAATTCTTTATGTAGCAATAAGTTAGCAGAGAATTACTGTGCATATAGCACTATGTTAAACTAATACCTCCAGTGTGAGAAGATAGACAGTATTACATCTACAACCTGTAAGACAGATATTAATCAGGGACAGATAATGAGACATTCATTTCCACTTAAAATACTTTAAGAAGCTTTCTCAGAGCCAACTAGCTTCCTGCAGTAACTAAAAAAATAATAATTACTATAATTAAAGGGCTCAAGGAATGCATTTGTTAAGAGTGAGACACCCAGATTTCTAGTTACTGAGTATTTGTTTAGTGCATATTTTGCAGACTGTCTTTTGGAGCTTTTTAGAAGAGCCCAATGAATTCCCGTTGCCCCTGTCTACTCATCTTCCTGGGCACAAAGACCTTTATGTTAATGGGACTGCAAGAGTCCACCCACACAAGCTCCACTAGAACCATTCCACAGAATGCACCAGCAAATCAAAAGCGTAAGATTAACACTATTCTATACTATCCATAGAATTAAGACCTTTTAAGATGTCCCAGCCTCAGAAGTCAGGTTCCTTACGGCATGCGCAACATGGAACCAAGAGACCACCAAGCACCAGCCATTACTGAAAACAGCATATTTCAGTGATACTGGCATGACTAAACTGCTGATCACTGCCAATTAGCTAGAATAATCCTGTTAGCAATAGCTCAACTGTTCAATTATAAATCTCTTCAACACTAATTGTATTTGAAGTTCTTTCCATCACTAACTCCTTTTGTACCATGATGAAAGCCTGCGAAAACGCTCATCAATTAAACAGCTGATATAACAAACAATCCCCTTTTAACCCTTTACATCCTCACTGCTATAAAAAGAGCACTGGATATGAATCATCATCTATTGACCAAGGTCCTGCATCATTTTATCTTTTTATGGTAAACATTCTTTTGCCATGGCAAGATGCACAGCTTAAACAATACCAAGTCTTACTGACAGTTGTCACATAAACCCATCTGAGAAAGTAGGAAAACAAAACCTTTGTTGTGGTTCTTTGTCAAACATATAACTTAAATTGACGTGCGCACCCATCTGTTAAAATGAAACTATGCTCACTTCTTTCTTATTGCTATTTAATTTGTACAAGAGCAGCACGTTGGCAAGAAATGCTCAGCTGAATCCCAGCAGAATAGACAGCATGTTCAAAATTATTGCGTTGCTTCGGTAAGCTTCGGGTGAACTTTGGGTTACCAAATCTAAATGGACAACACAGGGGAGTTTTCATTAAATAAATTTATTTGTTAAAATAATTTAACTCCAAATACAACTGCTGAGTTTGCATTGAGTTCTATGTACAATTCTTGTTTTATTTGAAACATCAAGGTTTTAACAACTGACATTGTTACAAAACAAACTGTTGCCTCATTTTTTAAGTTGCCAGTTGTATTAGAGCTCAACAGTTATCTGTGAAATACATTAATTCACCTCTGGGAAACTCCAAATCAACAGCGTTAAGCCTGGTTCCAGCACCCACTTCAGTCTTTCTTCAAACCCTGATCAAGAATCAACAGATGCACAACAATGCAGATAAAAGCCTCCTGCAGTCGTCAAACATTGGCTTTTGTTGCGGAGTTTCACAATTAAAGCCTAACCAGTGCTTTGACGGCACACTGGCAAAAATGAAAATAAAAATCAAAGTAAAAAACAAACATGCACAAACCCCCCCAACCAAATGGCTGACATCTTTAGGCAACATTCTATACAGGAAAGCAAATATACCAGTAGTTTTCCCACAGAAAAGTAATGGCAACTGTAGCACTGGGGTTAGGGAGAGGCTAGAACCAGAACAGAAAAAGTCACCAAGTCCTTTTGATGCTCTGAAGGGGCTAAGGGAGAACAAAAACAACAGTAAAAAAGCAACTATGTGTAATACTCTTGATTTGATTCCGTTTGTTTGGACCAGTTCTTGTGTGCACTTTTAAGGGAAAGAGGAAACAGTTGCTATCACTATCATAGCTTAAAAGAATAAAAGTTGCAACATTAAAAAAAAAAAAAAAAAAAAAGCACAATAAAAAGAAAAAAAGGAGAAATGCTGTTTTTGTAGAAAAGGACAAAGCTCTACAAGAACAGCCAAAGGAAAAAGCGGGTCTTTGGAACAAATCATAATATTTTAAGGCATGTTATAAGAAATTTTCAAAGATTGTAATTGGTAATCCTTTCAGGGTACAAATTAAACAACAAGCATGAGTCCCACACAAGGGAGGCCACAGAAGTGCTGTGTGGCTCACTCACCCACCTTCCTGCTACCCCTGGATCTTGGAAAAAATCTCTGTCAAGTGCAACTGTCATTGATTCAAGCTCCACTATCTTCACATTAGTGGAAATACAAATAGTGCATAACTACTTCCTCAGAATTATAAGAAAAAAACAACAGTTATGCTCCCCCTTCTCTCCTCCCCCCCTGCCCTGCAGTATTGCATGACAGCATACACAAATCTGAGTTTCAGAAATTGTGAAAGTGTAATGTAAAAATAAGACCAGGGTGTATTTTCATTAGTATCTTCTGTTAGGAATTCCACTTGCCATTTTTCTTATATTAGAAGCTCATCTGTTTATCTGTTTTATATTATCAACTCCATGTTAGGCCATTCACATTGTACTTCGTGCCATTTTCTTGGCCAATGAATGAGATAAGATTTTAACACCTCTGTAAATAACATTGCATAACACGCACTTCTAAGTTTTATGGGGCTTTTAATCCTTTTTTGAGTGCTTATGCAGTGGATCTCGCACTGAAAAGCTATTTTACAGATAGGCTGTGCTGCTTAATAACTGGATATCTGAAAAATTACACTCTCACCAATTCAGTATCTGAAACCTTGCTTTAAGCATGGTGGCTGAAACGGGCAGATGGAGGGGGGGGGGGGGGGCGGGGAAGAGAACATTCATACCATCTAGTTTAGGCATAGAAGTGACTCAGAGGACCGAAGATAAAAGCCTAAGCTTTGCTATATCGTCAATGGAAAGAGGTAGGTGCCTCTAGGAGGGCAATTCAGAGCACCCAAAGTGGGCATTCAGATGCCAGAAATAAACGGTGTGAATATCTCAAGGAGAACTAAGCACAGTAACAAAAGTTCCAAAAGGTAGATGGGAAGAAGGGCTGTATTAACGTTCGAGTAAGGCATGATGTTTCGTGACATCTGATGCCCTTCGATCCATTGGTTGTAGGAAGGTTTTGAAAAATTAAGGGCAGAGATGGTCCGTTCTCTTCGATTAATATGATTTCCTTAGCTTACCATCCACTGAACTACAATTTAAACGTTAAGAATGCATATGAAAATCTGCTAAGTGTGCTGTACAAAGTTTCCTTTGTAGAAGATGAGAGCATTTTTAGGCAGTTCTGCAGATGAAGGCAAAACTCTCGAACCTAACTCCAATTACAGCATTTCTAAGGGTCATATACACACACACATACACACTCAACATACACACACAGCCCAGCACCCCTGTTTTCACTCATTTAAACACAAGGAACTACACTGTTACTGCACAAGATTGAAAAACTAATGAACGCATGGTGTTATTTAGACCACAGGCTCAGTGACTCTGTATTTTTATGGCCAATTTTACCTATAAGAGATCCAGCTCAAGACGGTCTCTCCAGCATGTAAAATCTAAACATTGTGATTGAAAACTTCTCTCTACTTTGATTGTAAGACTTCAGAATAGGTATTTTTGTGCCATTAGTCATGCAAATGATAAATACTTCACTGCTATGAAACTAGCAAGCCAGAGCTCGAGCATCCTTTCAAAATAAAATATTTGCTCCCACCATTTAACACTCAAATAATTGGGGCAATCTTTGAATGGTGTGTCTCAGGCAATTAAAGAGCCATTTCCACACTCACTTAAGGAATCATAACTGTAACTATTTCAGCTCTGAACCAAATGATTTTACATGGTTATCCAATTTAAGTTTTTGTCATTAAAGCTATGAAATAGCAAACTTGATTTTCGAAGGTTAGTTAGGGATCCCACCAGAGAACGTAGCCCTTAAAGGCAAGAAAAAACTGTTGTCTTTAACAAACTTAAAGATGCAGGATGTTCATACTGTCCCATGAGGTTTCTGCAGAAGGGAACATATGGATGCAACATGGCTTAATTTTCCTTACAAGATGGTACTAGTTAATCTATTAAAGTGTTCCTTGTTAATAAGGCTCAGCAATTTTTTCATCACAGTTGCTTCCTCCTGGTTCAGTAAAGTGATAAATAAAGATGCTTCCTGCTTTGTAAACAGAGGGTTTGTTTGGCTTTTTGCAGACCAAAACCTGAAGTGATCCTCCATTTTTGAGCAGCAAAACGAAAGATTGAAAACATTCCAATGCCATACTGTTTCTTCACCTGTCACCTGTTTGCAGATCTTGCCTCTCGCTTCACTCACTGATGCAATGTACTCTATTTCAAGATGTGGGATAAAGTGTAGAAATAATAGCATCAATTTTGAAAAAAATCCAAACAATATAGGTCTCTGGTAACCTCTTCCTCTAACACTGTCAGAAGTTCAGGTGAAATCAACACAGTTGAACAAACTTGGCCACAAGTGATAGCGCACGTCCCAAAGCACAGCAATTAAATGCTCACAGACTTAGCTCTCCTTTTGCACTTATGCTAGTTGCAAATGGTCTTCAAGGACATCCTCTTCACCGCTCTAGTTCCCCACCTCCAAGGCTTTCCAACTTCTTTGCAGAAAGTTGCTGTCATTGCTGCTGGACATGATAACACGTACGCTCAAATGGAACGACCCTGTAGATCGACTGGCTATGCCGTAACATTGCAGGTACTCAAAGGGAAAAACGGGTGAGATGTGGTCATTGAACCCAATTATATTCAGAGTCAGTGATTGACTTTCAATGCTCAGCTCTGAGTTAATGTTGCTACTTCACTACAGATGTATTTCAAGTGACCCACAAACCAGGAAGTGAAGTAGACAGTTTTACCACCTTACAAAATTTCTTCAAATTTAAGTCCAGGTTAGGTCATTTTTAATGCTATTGTATATTACATGCAGAACAGCATGGATCATCTTTGTCTGGCTGTGCTGCATAGTTCATTTGTCTAACAATTTCTGCGAAGAGCTCATCCACCATCGTTTTACTTTTAGCAGAGGTCTCCATAAAAGGGCAGCCCCACTCTTCAGCTAAGGCTCTGCCTTCATTCGATGACACTTCTCTCTCACTTTCCAGGTCCACTTTATTACCAACCAGAATTACAGGCACCTTCTCATACCTGCAGTTAAAAAACAAAAACAAAAAATCCACAGTGATAGTTATACATCAGAGAAGAGCATATTCAAATGTGTAAGCATCTATTTGCAAACAGTACCCGACATGAAAGACATTTGGACAATGAAATTTTTACACTGAAGAAAACGTCTCACATATTAGAATAATAAATCATTCTAGTGATTTATTGCACATCTTTTCTCCCAGAGTTTTCTTGAAGTTTAGGTGAAGTTTACCTTCCACCACGAAACCTGCCTGGAGCGCTTCCACACTGCAAAAACAGGTACTATAATCATATTTTCCATGTTGTTCATCTCAGAGCGCAAGAAAAAGAGTGAAGTTCAAGTCTCTCTCCAACATTACATCTTCCTTCTCTGTGAACAGGCAGCATACTGCATTTCTTGCTTGCAATAAGGGAGATGCATCATTCTCCCTTTCAAAGGTACATCTACCATTGGCTAATACATACAGAACTCTCAGATGAGCAATAAACGGGAGAAAACTAAACTGCCAGTAAAATTCATGTGAAATTTCAGGCAGCCCACTTCAAGTACTTTCTACACACACAAGTAGTGATACATAAAAACATGCATTAGCCAATACAGAAGATACAACTTTTTTCTTTCAGTATTCATACTGTTACACCAGTTATACATGCTGAAAAGAAAAAGAAATACCAGGCAATACTACCACAGTTCTTAGGAGTTTATTACTTTGCACATCCCTGTGAAAGGATCCTTGCCTTTTCCTTCTGATTAACATGCCTGTTTTTTTACTATTTTTTCTCCTCCATCCTCACGTGCATAAAACCCTTCTTCACGGAGCTAAGCAAATGTTTAGTCAGGTTTTAAATTTACATATTTGACATAACAGAGAAGACAACACTGGGCCGATTTCCAAAACACTCTCAACACTGGTTTTCTCAAAAAAGCAACAAGGACTGAGAGAAAAACTGATTACAGTTCTTAACATTTAAACTAAATTAAGATCCAAGAGAAACAAGATGGCTCTCTCTTAATACAAACCCAACTTTCTACTTTGTGTTAGGTCAGTAGCACTCAAATCAGTCAAAGGATTTGAGCAAGACCAAGCTGCAGACAGACAACAATCATTGCTACTACCTGCAGCAGTTCATGATGTTACACATGACACCTATACATCAACTATTTACCTCTTTCTTCCTGCTTTCCAGGTAGGGCAGCAGAGTGGAGCTGGTGCAGGTACCCCTGCAGCTTGTGCTAACCCACCAGAGATGAAGGAATTAAGCTGTCAAGTCTCTGCACGGAAACAGAACCTCTGTGCTCCTGTTGACACAAGGCTTGTAGGCTCCAAGTCAAAGGGTATGAGGACAGTAAATTCTCACACCAGTCAGTATCCAAAATTGATCCAAGCACGTCATAGGATGCAAGTAAAATTTTAAGCTTTCTTATGACTCTCTGCCAACTCTGAGCGCACCACTCAAATCTAGAGTCTAAGGCCACGGTCGTTAACTGTAGAGGAATCCCCTCACTTTCTCACCATTTATCCTACCCTCGTTTACCACCTGAACAGATGCAGTCCATTTCTTACTCTCTAGATACACACTTCAGCACAATGATACCTTTGGAACTATTAGGAGAGCTAAGTTGCCATTAAGTAACAAAACACACAAAAGCATCTTGAAAATCTGTCCTCCCGCGTTTGAACACGTGATAGCATAGTCTTTAATTACATGGATGGTGTTCAACAATTGAGTACTTCTTAATCTTTATTATCCAGGTGCATGAATCTTATTTTATTCGCTGTACAGTATTAAATCCTTCAGTGGAAGCAGGATCAGCTTCACTGTATGTTGTGATATAGCATAAACTTTCTTCTACTACTTCTAGATATTCTCCATTGTCTCAATTTTACAAGTGAGAATAAGGAAGAAATTCAAAGCAGTCACTTAAGAAGCATTCTGCAAAGTGGATGAGCCACAGTTAAAACAACACCACTTCTTCTCATTCTGCACAATTGCTCCGATTTACTGACAGACAAGAGGAAAAAAAGCCCACACACTTGTTGCAGATTTACAGACAGCTCCACTAAAATATTAGGGTAAATTATTAGGATTTAAGAACCCTAGAAAAGGAGGGCAACTAACTAAGGACTTGAGGCACTATTTGCTATGAGTGCTCAGCATCTGAGAAGTGAAGGGATGGAGATAGAAATTTTGTAGTGGAGAACACATGAGCTGACAAGATAGATATAAAAAAAAAATTGAATTTACTTACACAGCATCATCTAGGAGCTACTACACAGGACAGAATCACTTTTCTGTATTGGTTTTTCCTGCCTTTACAGCTTGTGTTTGCCTTGTTCACTGCCTACCTTCACCACTTCAAAAGAGATTGAAATCCTACAGTCAATAGTCTTATGTATCTTATAATCCATGTTCATCCAGTGACAATTTTATAACATTAAGCTGTGTAAAAGAACAAAGTTTCTGCAAAATCCTCACGTTGCCTTGTCAAATTCTTCCTCAAAGGGCAAAAATAAGGTTGGCTTTTTTTACAAAATACATCCTTTATTACCTCATTTTTGAGTAGTCAAATCTACAAAGCAAATATATAAAGTATGCGTAAATTCAGCGTGCCTTTTAAAATGTATATGAATTCAAAACATACATTTATATATAAATATATATATATTTATATATATATATATACATACATACACACACACACTACATGATTTTTCATTCAGAATACAAAGATCAGCCATTACTTATCATCAAGATGAATGCAGACTGGAACATCTCAATATTCCAATCCATGGATACTGAGCAGACGACTTGCTGCAGTATGGCTTTATTAGCTCCATTTCAGTACCAGTCCTGCCATAGTAGATGTCTGCGTGTTATATTCTCCATATAGCAAGATGATGACAGACAGACAGGCAGTGTTGGATAGTGCCATCTCAGACACAGCAGACCTTAGCAGAAGTTATGTGGTTCCACATCAGCCCCTGCTGACCTCCATTCAGAGGCTCTATGGCCCCAACTTTTGGTAACACCACACAAACCATAAAGCTTCCAGAGCTTCCTACCTCACTCCAGGTCCTGGGCAAACCTATGTCAGCTGAGCACAGACAAGCTTCCTGGCTCAAGACTGTGTTTACTGCTGCCCATCCTGCACCAGGAGGTCACAGAATCACAGGGGTTGGAAGGGACTTCTGGAGACCTTCTAGCTCAGTCCCACTGTTAAAACAGGATCCCTAGAGTATGTTGGGCAGGTGGCCACTCATGGTCACCCAAAACCATTGGGTTCTGAATATCTCCAGAGGAGAATACACAACCTCCCTGGGCAGCCTGTTCCGGTGTTCTGCCACTTACACAGTAAAGAAGTTTTTCCTCGTGTTCAGATGGAACTTCTTGCATTTCAGTTTGTGCTCAGTGCCTCTTGTCTTGTTGCTGGGCACCACCATCCTCTTACCAATAGTCCCAGGTTGTTCAGTCTATCCTCTTACAGAAGAAGTTCCAGGCCCCTCATCACCAAGCTGCTCTCTGCCATCTACTAGCACTCCTGGTATCTCAAGAGGTCCTGGAGGATTGGAGACTTGCAATGTGACTCCCACCTACAAGAAGGGCTGTAAGGAGCTTCTAGGGAACTACAGGCCTGTCAGCCTGACCTCAGTACCAAGGAAAGTTAGGGAGCAAATCATCCTGGGAGAGATCACTCAGCACATGTGTGGCATCCAGGGCATCAGGCCCAGCCAGCATGGGTTCATGAAAGGCAGGTTACGCTTGATCAACCTCATCTCCTTCCATAACTGGGTGACCAGACTGGTAGATGAGGGAAAGACTATCAATATAGTCTACCTAGACTTCAGCAAAGCCTTTGACACGATCTCTCACAGTATTCTCCTGGGGAAACTGGCTGTCCGTGGCCTGGACAAGTCTACCCTTCTTTGGGTAAGGAACTGGCTAGAGGGCCATGTCCAATGGGTAGTGGTTAATGGAGCTAAGTCCAGCTGGCAACCCATTACAAGTTGTGTCCCCCAGGGGTCGGTACTGGGGCCCATCTTGTTTAATATCTTTACTGATGACTTAGATGAGGGGCTTGAGTGCACCCTCAGTAAGTTTGCAGATGACACCAAATAGAGAGCTGGTGTCGATCTGCCTGAGGGTAGGGAGGCCCTTCAGAGGGATCTAGATAAGCTGAATCACTGGGCTGAAGTGAATGGGATAAAGTTCAACAAGACCAAGATTCAACAGATTCAACGTGCCGGATCCTGTACTTTGGGCACAACAACCCCATGTAGTGCTACAGGCTTGGGGATGAGTGGCTGGATGACGTGATGATGTGAAGAGGAAGGGAACCTGGGGGTGTTGGTTAATGCTCGGCTGAACACGAGCCGACAATGTGCCCAGGTGGCCAAGAGGGCCAATGGCATCCAATGGCATCCAGAGAAGGGCAACGAAACTTGTGAGGTGAGGACACTGAAGGAGCTGGGGTTGTTCAGTCTGGAGGAGGCTCAGGGGAGACCTCACTGCACTCTATAACTGCCTGAAGGGAGGTTGTGATGAAAAGGGATTTGGCCTCTTCTCCCAGGCAACAAACAGGTCCTGGGGAAATGGCCACAAGTTGTACCTGAGGAGGTCTAGGTTAGACATAAGGAAGAATTTTTTCTCTCAGAGAGTGGTCAGGCACTGCAATGGCTGCCCAGGGAGGTGGTGGAGTCGCCGTCCCTGGCAGTGTTCAAGAGGCGTCTGGGTGAGGAGCTGCGAGATGTGGTTTAGTGCTTGTGGTGGCAATGGTGATGAGGGGAAGGACTAGATGATCTTGTAGGTCCTTTCCAACCTTGTGATTCTATGATTCTATGATCTTTGTAGGCCTCCACAGGACTATTTCTAGAACAAGTTCCCTGTCTTTTTGAATAGAGGCCAGAACTAGACACAGTACTGCAGATGTGGCCTCACCAGGGCAGAGTAAAGGGGGACGATCATCTTCCTTGACCTGCTGGCCACGCTCTTTTTTAACG